GTAAGTGTCGCGGCACTTAAACGTTTTGCAATTATGATCAACCTAGGACGAAAAGAACTCAAAAGCTGTCGGACAGCAGTCAATGACTAAGAAAAAGGGTGACAAATTCCGGTTGTTGCGGCCACTCATTCTCATTTGCAACGATCTATATCATCCGTCTTTACGGCCTCTGCGGCAATCTTCTATGGCGGAGATCGTTCACATCCGCAAACCAGCAATCAACATGGTGGTCACCCGCATGCAAGACATCTTCACCAAGGAAGGCTTCCAGTGTGACTCCGATGGTGTCCGCCGTTTATGTGAAGCTACATGGGGTGTAAGCACCAAAAAAGAAGGCAGCACTGGTAGTGGTACAGGTGAGGGCGACATCCGAGGAGTGATGGTAGTCAGCGAATGGGTAGCAAGTCGGTTGCGGTCCGCCCACAACCCCAAGTCTCAAGATCGTCCTCACCTAACGCGAAAATGGGTAGAAGATAATTTCATCAACGATCTACGTCATGGCGGCGGAGCGGCACGCAGTCTAGGTCGCGGCGGCGCAAAAGACGTCGTCGACCGTGTCTTCCGTGAAGGCGCTGGATTTCCTAAAGAAGCCGAAACAACAGACCCATACACCGCAGCCTCCCGCGCAAAGAGCGGCGTTGTTGGTGTTGCGGAGGCATCGAAGCGCCGCGCTATGGATCGTCTTAGGGAGATGGTTGACACAAGCGGTGACTGTGACCGTATCGTGACGGACTGCTTCACTGCGTATCCTGACAAGCCTTACCAAGACGACACACTCCTGAGCAAACCCTCTGCGGCCTACGAATGGCTGCATTTCCATGACACCCTCAATTCCGCTGTCCACGGAAGTCAAGAATGGGAGCTCTTCCCCTATCTCTCAAACTCGGTGCTAGCGTTTCACTCCCTCTTCGCCTCACCAGCACGCTCTTCGAATCCCGTTATCGACCCAGAAGCACAACCCACACCCTTCTCTGGACCTGGCGCAAGCTTTGCAGCAATGGAGCAAACCAAGGCGTCAAGGGCACAGCTCATGGCGCTACAAACCAATCTCAGCGTACCATTGACACGGATGTTTCGTAGTCCCGAGGAAATGGCCAAGGAGCTCATTCCCTACGTTATCCGGATGCTCTCACCAGATGTAAAGCCTGTGCTAGTCAACACAGGTGCCACTGGTTCGAAATCCTTCGCCACGGCTTCAGTACGCAAGGCGTCAGAGAAGGAACTTGTGAAAAAGGCAGTAGAGGCTATGGCTGCAACGGGCGTGCGGTTTGAGAAGAGTCGAATCGAGATTGAGGACGTAGTGAACAGGAACGCGGGGTTTGTGTGGAGGATGGAACCTGCTCTGGATGTGCTCGCTTCCTTTGAAACCTTGTCTATCAAAAGAGACGATAAGGCGCGATATGCAGTCCGTAGCGTATTGGAGCAGGAGTGGCGTAAAGAGTCTGCATTACGCGAGATGGCGAATCGGAAACGTCGTGGTGGACAGGACGACGATGAGCATTTGTCTTCTTCCGCACAGACAGAAGTCAAGACAACGGAACAGAAAGCCGCAGAAGCTAATAACAAGATGGGGAAACGCGATTTCTTCGGCAGAATCATCGTAGAGACGGAGAAGTCGAGGAAGGAAGACAAGAGAAAACAGGACAGTGGGGAAATGCACGGCGATGTGGGGAGGATATGGGTAAGTTTTCATGAGGGGTTCAGTAATGCGGTTCGGAAGCCGATCACTATTGATGATCTTCTGCGGGGGCTGTAGATGCCATATGTGGCACGAGGGGTTGCAGGCACAGGGTGGCATTTCATAGAATACACATTAATAGCGTGCATGCTGGCAGTTCAGCGCAAGTTATGACAAACCCAGATTCAACTACTTTTCTAAATTCCATCTGTTCTCATTTACACCCCGTTGACCACATCTCCCATCGTTACCTCCATTTACAAGTTTCATAAGCATGTCTCCAGCCGGCATACAACCAGGATTGTACTGGTCTCTGACGATCCAATCACATCACTACCTGTCGTGCATTATGCCAGATATAGAAGGTATGGTGTATGTTGTGCATCTTGAAGTAGATATAGTGATTTTAATAGGTAACGTAAGTCGGGGGGGCATGAAGGCGGAATCGATAAGAAAACTGCTTATATAGCCTTCAATTTTGACATGTCGGGACAAGTGGGTGGTGAATTTGACACATCACCTACAAACAGCGATAGCATTGAACATCCAGATTCTCCCCTTCATAAAATTCGGCCCTTCATTCCTTCATCAATAACCAATGTGAGTATTGCAGGTTGTCATTTAGGTAGACCTTGAACATCCATGATGCAGATACAAGGTATAAGAACCCCGGTCGCAGGCTGTCGCAGCTTTGATTTAGAAATCACTACAAGTTTAGCATAATGAAGAAGATCAATTCCCTCAAAAACATACATGCCCTTAACAAGCGTGGCCAGAGCCCTGTTCGCTTCCAAAGCCCTCTTGGTCCGTCAGAGCATTCATCTCTTCGGCGCTCGCAGTCTAGTACCAGTACGAACACTGTGTCGCTGACTAAAGCTGCGATGATCAATCAGAGTACGCAAACTGAAAAAGTGTCCAAGACCAGTACGGAGTGTAAGTGCACGGAAGACATAGTGGGCGTATGTGCTAATAGCGATGCGCAACAGACGAGAAATTTGGACCGGTGCCTCACCATGATGAATTGCATGCCGGCCCATACGGCGTTGAGACTCCACCAGATTGGGACTTTATTGTTAAGGTGACGGAGGTCACAGTGACTGCGTCAGTGACTGAGAAGGCAGAGGCGGAGGCAGTGAAGAAGAAAGAATAAGAAGATCAGTTGCGCATGGTTGAGCACGCGAGTCGACGCCGTTAACGCTGCATTTATGGGTAGTAGTGTTTAAATTAAATCTTGAGAGTCTAGCAGGTTGGAATATTGAATTTTGCGCAAAATAGGCCTTTCTCGAATGATGAACGGCCGGGATAGAGATTGTAGACAGTGAACAGTGAGACAGGTAGAAACAGAAACATTAGTCACAGCATACAGATACAAACCACTAGTGGGATGGAGCGCAACATTCCACTTAGACCATAGACCTATATTGAGGGCATCAAGTGAATTTGATGGCTGCTCAGGTTTGGTAAGGCTACCTCTATTGTTTTTATGACGACATGAATTCTTACGTATAGCTTTGCTGGTAGAGAGTCTAATTTCGAGAATTATTTTCTGGCATATTGGTGATTGTATAGGTAATAACAAGTGCTTCGACATTGCCATTGTCCTCACCAGCATTCCACCGCTGTTGGAAGTCCGTCTTTTGATGTTCGACCAAAATACGTGATTGTGCAGGCAAGTTTTGCAGCTGTGGCGTGTATTTAGTGGACCGCTGTCACGGTGTTGCCAGCTAGACGCTTCCTTGCAGCATCAATCCTCTGTAGCTCAAGTTCCTTCTCCTTATCATCTAGATCATCTGGTAACGTGCCAAGAGCCCTATCTCCAAACAACAGGTCAATCTCCTCAAGCGTGAGCTGCTTCGTTTCCTGAAAAAAAAATTAGTTTCATCATGACTACATGGATTCTGTGAGACTTGCCTTCATGAAGAACCAGATTGTGGGTAATGTGACACAGATATTGAAAGCCACGAAGATAAAGTAGAACTGGTACGTGATAGCTCCGAGACCGATGGGAGACACCTGCGACCATACTGTCCCGACGAGCCAGTTACCGATACCCGTAGCGAAAGCAGACCCGCGACCACGAATACTCAGAGGCATGATTTCGGACGCATAGACCCATGAGATAGGACCGAAAGACACGCTAAAGATGCAAGATACTGCGAACAGGAAGAATACACCTGCCGCAGATAGACCGTCTCTGCGTGACCCAGTGGCACCTTCGATTTGCGATCCGATAGCTGCTTCGCAGATGAGCGCAATTGAAATCCCAATGGTGCCAAAGATGAGAGGCTTCTTGCGCCCGACTTTGTCGAGGAAAAAAACTATGAATACGAAGTTGAAGAGGGGTCCAACGACGTTGTAGATGCTGGTAACGAGAAGATTACGATCTCCGGTAATTCCTAGGTTCTTGTAGAGAATAGTGCCATAGTATCCAATGACGTTGATTCTGGAGAAACCATCAGCTTGGGCGGAACTTGAAGAAACGATGGAGCGACATACCCAGTCATCTGCGTGAACACCTGGACAAGAGTCGCATGCATCAGTCGCGTCCTCCATACTGGCACAGTGAACATGACTCTCCACCCTGGAGCTGTAATGGCTCGTTCCGCATCGATCGTGAGCTTGATCTCGTTGAACTCATTCTGTAGCCACTCGTCGTTTGATCCATCGTAGTGCAACTTTCTCAGCACCTTCATCGCTTGGTCTGACCGATCGGTTTCTACAAGATAACGCGGCGACTCCGGGAAGAACATCATTCCGCAAAGGATGATGAGGCATGGCACGCACTGGAATGCGAGCGGGAAACGCCATGAGAATGAGCTTGTTTCAGGAACTTTTGAAGATCCATATCCGACCCAAGTGGAAACGATGAATCCCACACCGATCATTTGCTGGGCGAGACCGACAATCAGTCCTAAAGCTTTTGTCAGGACTTGAAACCTCGAAGTAGATATATCTTTTACCTCTAGTCTTTGGATGTGCGCATTCTGCTTGATAGATAGGGACGGACATGGACATCAAACCCACAGCCCAGCCAGCGAGGATACGTCCGACAAGCACCATGGAAAGGGCCTGAGCAGCGGCTTGTAGGACTGCACCTATCAGATTGATGGTCGCACCGATCATAATGGTCTTTCGCCTCCCCAGACGATCCATCGTGAACCCTCCCCTAAAAAGGATCAGCTATACACCGTGAATGGAAAACAGTATTTGTACATCAATGATCCAAACACCGCTCCTCCTGAAAACGTCGCATTGATGGCGCCTATAGTCGCTGACGTCTGCGTCGTATTGAAGAAATAAAGAAAGTGCGGTGATTGAATGACAATGGTCATGACACCGGAGTCATATCTTCAATGCAGAAACAAACATTAGCTTCGTATTTCAATTCCAGCACACCGAGTAGCCACGAACCCAAAGAGAAAACTGCCCGTGGCAGCGAACACTGCCAGCACGACATTGAATAAGAGACCCATCTTTGCAAACGCTGCCCAGGTCAAAGATTGAGCGTCGTAAAAAGATTCGATTCGAACTCTCGAGAGGCTTGTGAATCCTGCAAATAAGACGATCTCCAAGGGCTATAATACCCCCAAATCTTTTCAGCAACCATTCATTTTAGCCATGTCACACCAGCCTCGCATGCTGCTTTCAACCCGGAGAACCGTCCCTAGTTCCCTGGAGATCAGCTTGAATCAGTCTGTGGTTCGAGGAACAAGCTTGCGGGTGCTAAGTATAACGAATGCGGGGGTGTAACGAGATCCCTGGGTTGCATTAGCGGGGCGGGGCGTGTGCTTGTAGGGTGAAGGTTGAATCTTCCGCCAATGGTTGATGGCGCCCACAACACGATACGGTTGGCCAGATTCAACCACAGACATCAGGCGGGGGATTCGAGTGCGGAATGCTTTCTATCTCGAGTTGGACATGCGATAATGAAACGGTGGAAGACTACAACTACTACTAAGCGTCGGCCCGCTCTCCTAACCTAGCTTCGTGACTTTCCAGTCTCCTCCGAGCAGATTGAGACCTTGCAGCTGGCCATTAGCATCGATCTCTAGCATACCCTTGCCATCTCCATTCGGTGCAACAAGGGCTGCTTTGTCCCCTTCCTTTGTGCCGTACAGTCTCACTTCACCTCCGGCGTTGAGCCAGTCGTAGCCAAAGCCGCCCTCGCCCTCTGCTTGCCCCAACACTAAGATAGTACCCATTCTGACAAATAATGGCAGCTGTAGAAATCCATACTTCTCTTTGATCCAACGACCACCTTGAAGTTCTTCCCCATTCCAGAAGTTGTACCAGCTACCGGGTGGGAGGTAGTACTCAACGTCGCCGTTCTCCTCAAAGATGGGAGCTGCCAGGATCTGGCTTCCAACCATGAACTCGCGATCAATGTGCCACGAAGTTGGATCTTCGGGGAACTCCAGAGCGACTGCACGTACGCTGGTTGGCCAACCATTTGCGATACTTTCTTCCGCCTGGGCGTATAGATACGGCATCAGGGTACGCTTCGTCTGCACCCAGTGTCGCAACACCTCTGTGCAGTTTTCCTTTTCCGTAGAAGAATCATCTACCAGCCATGGTACACGATAAGAGCTTGAGCCATGGAGACGACTGTGAGAGTTCAGCAATCCGAATGCAACCCATCGTTTGTAAATCCATGGTGCGGGTTTTCCCTCAAATCCACCAATATCACTAGTCCAGAAGGCGAAGGATGCAAGGCCTAAACTCAAGCCTCCTCTGATCGATTCGGCGAGTGCAGCAGGTGTGGACTCGCAATCACCGCCCCATTGGAGTGGGAAGCGTTGAGACCCTGCACATGCAGTGCGTGCAAATAGAATGGCTTCGTTCTCTCCATATCGCTTTTGAGCAGCTTCGAAGACGAGTTTGTTGTAGATGAACGCATAATAGTTGTGCATCCGGCTTGGGTCCATACTGTTGTCATGCCATTGTACATTTTTCGTAGGTATCCTCTCACCAAAGTCCGTCTTGATGGAATTGACGCCCATATCGAATAGCTTATTCATGCATCCTTTGAACCATTCACAAGCCTCAGGATTTGTAAAATCGACGATACCCATACCAGTCTGCCACAAGTCCCATTGCCAAACATCTCCGTTAGTCTTCTTAAGCAGATAGCCCTTGTCGGCCGCATACTTGAAGACTGGACTGGCTTGTCCAATATATGGGTTGGTCCACACGCTGACTTTATTAACAAGTCCGGTCTCCTTCATACGAGTGATCTGACCAGCAGGGTCCGGGAATGACTCAGGGTCCCAAACAAAGTCACACCAGTGGAACGCGCGGAGCCAGAAGCTGTCGAAATGGAAGACTTCAACCGGAATTTTGTATTCGGACATCTTCTCGACGAAGTGATGGACAGTTTTCTCATCGTAAGATGTCGTGAAGGAAGTACTGAGCCAAAGACCGTAGGACCAGGCTGGTACCCGGGTTGCTTTACCTGTGAGTATGGAGTACTTTGTCAATACTTCCTTGGGCGTAGGTCCGTAGATGAGGTACCTTCTAGAGTCAATCATGCACACGATTGAATAATCGGCCGACTTACCACTTCAATCGCTGTCCCTCTACTGTAGTTTGAAGTCGTGAGCAGCGCTCACTTCCAATTTCCAGATCAATCTTGTCAGGTGTATCAATGAATACACCATATCCTCGAGAGCTCAGCCAGAAAGAGACGTTCTTGTATGCCTGTTCACTCGATGTGCCTCCGTCTTCATTCCAAACTTCAACATTCTGACCGATCTTGTTCCAAGCGCCAAATCGCTCACCCAGTCCATGGATTGTTTCGCCCACACTCAATTCAGTCTGTGTGAAGACATGATGTTTGTGCGCACTCAAATCCTCAACAGCTTTTGGTGTGCTGAGAGTTGGAGAGTAAGCAAGCCCAACGCTTCGATTGAGTAACGATGTCAAGTGTTTCGAACCGTCAGTCGCATGGAACTTGATACCAAAACTGTGTTCGTCACCACTGACTGTAGCGCTCAGACCTCCGGACTTGATGGTAGTGCCATGGCTATTTCTCGTGACTTCGCCCTGAGCATCCGGCTTACCTGCCGGAAAGAGATCGAAGTCGGGACCGAGCCGCCGTGCACCTGCGAAATGGGTGACTTCTACCGAGATAACTCCATCAAATTGAGACTCAATCTCAACAGACAGCGTGCTGAGATTTAGCGTATCACCACGAGAGAGAATCTTGCGGGTAGGGCAGAGAAGTGTAACAGCCTTGTTGTCGTCACGAGGAGTGATGGCGTACACTTCTTCAGCGTGCTGGACAGTGAACTGGTCATTGACCAGCCACATGCCTAGTTCATGTCAGCTCGAGGGTGGGCAAGCTGGTTTGAACTTGCGTACCATCGCGGAATTTCATCGTGATCAGCTGTTTGTGGTGTTGGAGCCTACAACAGAAGCCAATACTGTGATATTGGTAGTCTTAAGATGCCTCATATTATCAACTCCGAGTCTTGTCGTTCGCTAGGTAAGTAGAGTCATTCAAGCTGATCGGGTCTGCGGTCCGACCCGTTGGTGGTGGTGGTGGTGGTGCAAGTGTGTGGACGGATTGTTCGGTGAGAGATCATCCGATGCCCCCCTCACACTGCGGGGTGAACCTCGACTATATGCGAGCAATATTTGGAAGCGTCCCACCATGTTCAAGAGCGCAGCGCAAACCACTGTACTCTATGGCCTTCAGATCATTCTATTGAATGGTATTAGGTACCTCTAAGCATAGGCTACCTGCGAGTGGGTCATGGCACAGCGTCTCCAGTTAGGCGATGATTAGGATAATCAGGGACGGCCACAGTGGGCCGTGATGTACAGGCCATAGACGCAGTGTGAAACAAGTGAGCGATTGATCAGACCAATGACTCACTCATGAAAGAACGTTCATCATGCTTTGTGCGGCTTTAGCCCTGAAGCATTCAATCACGAGTCGCTGATCAAAGCTGGCGCGCAACTAAACGGTTCCTCCGGTTGCCCATGGTATCCTCCCTATTGCCATCTAAGCAAACCGGCGGTATTCGCCTCGAGGGATTCCAAATTGCGCCGTGCAGTTTTCAAAAAGAGCACAGTCATCCGAAAGAAGGCTACAAGACTTGCACAGTCTCACCCGCACCACTGGCAGAGGATTGTGATGAAACTAGCCTGACAGCAGTAGCCATCCAAATGAAGCTCGAATCAGGTCCCACCAGCCCCACGTCCCGAAGCCGCCAAATGCTAGGGATTGTAGGTGGTTGGTGACCTGCGACACCGTCTGGTCCGATGTCGCCATTGAGTGTGCTGTTGTCACCCACAACTCATTCTTTTTGATCTATGTCGTTTCTCGCGGTATGCAAATGTGACCAGATTGCCCAACCCTAGGTTGATCACTCGTGCCGCAGCAGCCTTGAGATATTTTCGTGGTTTAGGTGTGGACGTTCAACCGGACCCACAAGAAATATCCTCTAATCAAGCTCAGCTCGTCGTATAAAGCCTCTCGCGATCTTGGAACCTTGACACGACATCTTAGCTCCACCCAAAAGCTGACGACTGTCCACGTTATTATGCCGCTGACGGTGCTTGCGTTTTACACGCGCCATCCAGACTTCTCTCCGAAGGACTTCGAAGCATACATGATTGATCGTCATGTTCCTCTCGTCAAAGATATCATGGGGCCTCTCTGTCCGCAGACTTACAACCTCCGCTTCGCAATGCGGGTTGATTCCGGTATTGGCGATCGGCTTGGCGCAATAATCTCAACCCAGGTGCGAACAAACGCCGATGCGCCTGTAATGTTGGTCGGTTCGCCAGACGACCTGGATTGGGATGCCGTGGGTGAAATGACCTTCCGGGATGAGTAAGCATTGGCCTTGCCCGTATACTGCTCCAGACACATATGCTGATCGCGACCTCTCTCTTTGCAGACTCCATCTCCATCAGGCTCTGTCTGTTATGAATGACCTCGACTCACAGAGGATCAAAGATGACGAGGAAATTTTTACCATTCCGGAAAAGCTGAAGGTCGTTTTCGTGGGTGATTGCAGGACTTTATAATGTACTTCGCCTCGGACCGGGCGACAGACTTGGATCATGGCGGCGGCGACGGTTGTGTTACTTTGGCTGGTCCAATGTAGGGATGGAGGCCCTCTTCCCAATGGTGCCAGCTTTCGAATGGAAACAGGAAATGTTAGTAGTACCCACCAGCATCGAATTCCGGTGGATGGATATATTGGCTCTGTATAACTCAGACACTCGGGATCTTCGAATAAACTTTGGACCACATAAAAGTACATGAAGTCAAAAGTGACTGTTGCTTTGTCTTTTGTAGGAGTTACAGGCTGAGAGACGTGTTTTCCTAAGCACTGGTGTGAGCACCGCAAGCCCATATGCTGATGACGTCACTCACGCGTTCTTGTATCTGAGGGTCTCGCGTTGCCTCTCTCACAGATGGTCATCAACATAATTTCATCTTCTTGAATGACGAATATGGCTTCTTATTATGAACCGATTGTTGGTCGCTCCCGGCCTCGTGAGTACCCAGAAAGAGAGATTGTCCGCTCCTGACGAGAAAAGACATTTCAAAAATACGAATGTATAATTCAGATGATACAAAGGAACTCGATAGTACTCCTAGCCATTAAAGCCCAAAGCTGGATGTTGTTGAGTAGCTTGACGCTAAATATAATTTTCCGCCGTCTAGATGCAGTCCAATCTTGCAACGAGGTCAGGGGCAGGTGGTACAAGGTGCGGGACGGATCGCACAGCCGACAAACTATCCGGAGAGTATTATTCCGGCTGTCAATTTGCGCAGAATTACATCAACAACATGCTAGGTACAGATTCATTTAGCTTCAAAAAGCCCAAAGCATTACGGAAGGTATACTCCGCGCAAATTCTGGTCGAAATACAAGTCGACTCGTACAGATGTCCGACACAGCGATTTCGTATATAGCATAGCGGTACAATGATGGCATTGAATTCAGGACCTCCATCAGCTGCGACACTATCATGGCCACTGTACCTTTTCTCCTTGGCTTAGCATTCTCTGCCCGTGTTCAAGCGCTAGTCTCCAAAGATGGCGTAACTGGCCGATTACCCGCGATGGGTTGGAACAGTTGGAACGAGTATGAGTGTAACATCAACGAGACTGTTTTCCTGGACGTGGGAAAACTTCTCGTGTCCCTGGGGCTCAAAGATCTTGGATATACCTATGTCAACATTGACGATTGCTGGAGCGACAGAGACAAGCGTCGGGATAATGTGACTGGGAAAATTGTACCCGACTACAAAAAGTTTCCACAGGGAATCAAACATACCGCGGACGAGATCCACAAGCTTGGGCTTCAGCTTGGTATATATAGTGATGCGGGTACCTCGACGTGCGGCGGATATGTTGGATCTCTGGGACATGAAGAGTTGGATGCCCAAACATGGGCTGAATGGGGTGTCGATTGTACGTATCTTGTCTCGATGAACAAATCTGATAATCTAAGACTGAATAGACTTGAAGTACGATAACTGCGCTGTACCAGATGAGTGGGATGATGAATACCGTTGGTGGCCTGAGAACTGGCTTGGAGGCCCTCCCAATGAAGATCAAACTGCTGGAGGTGACGGCGAAGCCCGACCCGTACCTGCGCCAGCTGGTTATGACTGGACCACATCGAAGAGTTTTGACCGCTACAAGATGATGAGCGATGCACTACTTGCTATCAATCGCACAATCGAATACTCGCAATGCGCATGGGGTCACGCTCATATTGAACAATGGGGCAATAGTACTGGCCACAGTTGGCGGATGTGGGGGGACATCTACCCGGAGTGGAGTGGCAAATGGCAGTGGTCATGGGGACTGATGCCTATTCTCAATCATGCGTCTTTCTTCTACAACAGTAGCAACTTCTGGGGCCACGCCGACTGGGACATGCTCGAGGTCGGCAACGGAAACTTGACCTTGGAGGAAAGCCGATCCCATTTTGCGCTATGGGCTGCACTCAAGTCGCCTCTCATCATCGGAACCCCGCTCGATGGCATCAAACCGGAGATCCTCAAGATCCTCAGTAACCCAGAGCTCATCGCATTCAATCAAGACCCGGTGTTTGGAGCACCCGCCAAACCGTACAAGTGGGGCGTCAACGCTGACAACACATGGAACCAGACACATCCTGCTGAATTCTGGAGTGGAGAATCATCAAAAGGGACGCATGTCTTTGCTCTGAATACGTTGGACACAACTCAAACTAAGATTATTGATTTTGCAGAAGTTCCAGGGCTCGATGGTAGGACAAAATATACCGTATACGACTCGTGGACTGGAAGGAAGCGAGGGGATTTTGTCCGGTCGTATAGGGCACGCGTTGGACGACATGATACAATGGCGATTCGCATCGTGAAAAACGAACGATGACTGAGTGTGTCATTTAACCGAGGTTTTACATTTCCATCTAAAGAAAGTATGATGTTACCGGGTTAGTGGAAGATTATCTTCAACTGTATAACAGTCTATTTTCGGGTCTGGCCGCAGTATCAAAATACCAGACCAGCATTGCTCTCAATAAAAAGAGTCTAGTCATTAACGGTGCATGTCGTTCACCTGTATTGCTAATCCACCTGTCATAGTCCCAAGGAACTAGGTATCCAGCAGGGTTTTTTAGGGGCGCAAAGAACAAAGAGCTCTGTGGCGGAGAAATGACACAAGGTGATAGCGCTGAGGTTGGCCATGTTAGGAAGTGAAAGATATACGAGAAGGCTCAGGCGGTTTCGTAGAGTACGCTTGTGGATGGGACGCAAAGATGCTCATGGAGATGAGATTGAGGGGCGACCCATCAGTAACGTTTTCCTTGGTAGTAATGACCCTTTCTTCAACGTTGTACTTTATACCTTGAACTACCCCTCTTGCTATTTCCACTACTTACTATTTTGTAGCCTGTCCTACGCAGTATAACTTTTGTTACCGTAAATATCTCTATATTGCCTGGTTGTTCAGGGCGCAGCCTCGATACCTACCTCAGTGAGTCAATGCCCGCCTTGATAGTAAAGTCGAGACGGTATTGGGATATAAGTACTAAAAGCTACGCTGTAACCATATAAAAGCAGCCTATAAGTACCGGTAGCTAAATCTACGTCAGGTTGTTATCGGCCGAGAAACAGTAAATCAGCTTCAGTCAGATTCCTGCAATGAATGATGTGATAGTTCTCTCCAGTCGCGTCGACGCGTCTCGGCTACCGGTACCGGTACGGTAAACCTTGCCCAGCCAAAGCCTTGACGACATCATCCTGCGCGCCTCCCATCTCCAACACCAATCCACTACCTCTGGCCATCTTGCGCCTCTCCACCTCATCCCCCTCCCAACAACCATCACCACCATGCGCAACCTACTCCCCCTATCAATATCAACCCTCCTCCTCCTCCACACCCCCTCCCACGCATCCCCCCCACCCCCCCACCCCCTCCCCCTCCCCCTCCTAATCTGGCACGGCCTAGGCGACAACTACCTCGCCCCGGGCCTCCAAACCATCGGCACCCTCGCCAACAAAACCAACCCGGGCACCTTCTCCTACTACATCCACCTCGCCCCCTCCCCCAGCGACCACTGCACCGCCACCTTCCTCGGC